ATCAGAAGTGATGTTCTGAGCCAATCACAATGCTTTCCCATAGGAAAGCATTGGATTGGCTGAGACTGTCAAGGAGGCAGATGAGGGGCAAAACCAGCACAAGCCAAACACAGCCCTGGCCAATCAGCATCTCATCATTGAATCGATGCATCTCTATGAGGAAAGTTAAGTGTCTCCATGCAGGGGGTGGAGGCACTGAATGGCAATGCTGCACAGCGTGCAGCACTGCCACAAGAAGCACCTTTTAGTAGCCATCTGAAAAGTGGCCAGTGGAGATATCCCTAAACTGTAATGTAAACACTGAAAAGACAGTGTTTACTGCAAACAGCCTGAAGGGAATGATTATACTTACCAGAACAAATACAATGAGCTGTAGTTGTTCTGGTGACTATAGTATCCCTTTAATACTTATTTGGGGCCCTATTCAGGGCCCTATAGTGGTTTCTGCCCTGATACACATTTAGTGCTTATAGTAAGTCTCTCTCTCTTGATATTCTGATTTTGAGCTTGGATTGTATTCGACGTTGTGTGCTTCTGGAATCCTGACCCTGTTTGTTCATTCGTTTATATGTATTTCTATAATCCTGGCCTTGGCTATTACTGACTTTGTCTTTATCTTTCTTACGTTAAGTCCGGCCTCTCTAAGGCCCAATAATACATATATTTAGATGCTCTGTTTGTGGGATTTGTCATTTCCTGTAAGTTAGGGTACGATCTTGTGACAGTTACAACTGCTTGGCCGTTTACTTCCGGGTTGTATAGCTCTATAGACCAAAGCTCAATATGCAGACAATTGCCCAGAGCACCCATCGTGAAACAACTTAGCTTTGAGCTGCATTGGGAAGTCTGTGATTGGACACCAAAAGTCTGTGCTGGGGAAGAATAGGGGAGCTTGTAAAGGTTTCAGAAAAGAGATGCAGCTTTTGCAAGCTATTTTTACATATATCCCCAGGGGCATTGCTAGGGTCAATAAACATCCAGGGCATGCGACCCAGAAATAATTTGCTGACCCCTTCCAAAAATCCCACCCTGGCCCAAATGTTGTGTAGTGTGTGTGTGTGTGTAAATAGAGCTCTTTGATTCTTGCTTGTGATGAAGAATGAGTGTTTAGGGGCTGTAGAGGGAGAGTATGTGTATGTGGGCTGTAGTGTTATGTTTACAGGGGTCTGTAGTGTGTGTGGGTATTGCAGTGTGTGTATAGGGGATGCACTGCGTGTGTATGTATGAGATGTAGTGTTGTGCTAGCGATACAGTGTGTCTGTTTATAGGATGTAGTGTGTGTGTAATGAACAGATCTGCATTTACGTGTCAGGTGCCTAAAGGCTTAGAATTCTAAGGTGCCCAAGACATAAAACAACTGGAGGATAATGTAAATTTGCTTAATCTGTAAACTGCACATTGCAGTAAAAAAATGTATATTGGTATATGATAACTACATATGTATAAATGTATGTGCATATTTTTGCTCTGTAGTAATGTATTGTTTGAATCTGTGAGTATAGTGAGTGTATGCAGCTGTGTAAATGTATGCAGGGTTAAAAATAATGTTAGAAGTAGTTTCGCTAAAGGGGGTTTCATGGTTTCAGAAGGGTTAACATAAGAGTTACTTTACATAAGGCGTTAAGTGTTGAGGACATAAAGCACGAGAGGGATTATAGTTGTGGTAAAAGGGTGTTTAGAATTATTTGTTTAGGCTTAGGGAGGGAATAAAATTAGCGTTAGGGTACATGGGGGTATAGTTTTAACAGGTGTTTAACCAAGAATTAAAGGACCACTCTAGGCACCCAGACCACTTCAGCTTAATGAAGTGGTCTGGGTGCCAGGTCCTTCTAGGGTTAACCCATTTTTTTATAAACATAGCAGTTTCAGAGAAACTGCTATGCTTATTAATGGGTTAAGCCTTCCCCCTAATCCTCTAGTGGCTGTCTCATTGACAGCCACTAGAGGCGCTTGCGTGCTTCTCACTGTGATTTTCACAGTGAGAGCACGCCAGCGTCCATAGGAAAGCATTCTAAATGCTTTCCTATGCGACCGGCTGAATGCGCGCGCAGCTCTTGCCGCGCGTGCGCATTCAGCCGGCGGGGCGGATCGGAGGAGGAGAGAAGGAGGAGAGTTCCCCGCCCAGCGCTGGAAAAAGGTAAGTTTTTACCCCTTTTCCCCTTCCAGAGCCGGGCGGGAGGGGGTCCCTGAGGGTGGGGGCACCCTCAGGGCACTATAGTGCCAGGAAAACGAGTATGTTTTCCTGGCACTATAGTGGTCCTTTAAGGTAAAAGTTTTTCAGGTTTAGGCTTTGAGTGCTTAAATGAAAGTAAAAATGGTTTGTTTAGATTTTGGGAGGGGTTACATTTATGGTAAGGAAAAAGGGATGTTTATGGCGTTTGAAGGGATATTTGCACAGTGCTCACTCATCCATCTTTGTCCTCATCCATCTTTGTCCTTGTGTTAACAGAGATTCGGGAGCTGTTTGTCGTTATGCTGCACCTCCTGCAATGAACTTCCTGTGTGAGAGGCTGTTAGTGGGCAGATGGAATGTGATCAAATCCTTTTCCTGTCCAGCCTCACGCACAGACACAGGAGGAGCTATAACTCAGCAACTCTGCTATCAAGCATAAGGGGCTGATTGGACTACAGAGGACACTGGCCAAGGTCCACTATTAACACTCTTTTATATCACCAGTTTTAAAAAAACGCATAATTCAATGTTTTATTGGGGTGTATCTAGTAAATAGTGATTTTATAGTTAGTTTTCTATTGTTTTTTTTTTTTTTTTGCTCAGTGGAGTGTCCATTTAAGCTCTGCCCATTACACTCCCTGAGATTACACTCCCCATAATAAAAAGTAGTCCCTACATGGGAATCATCGGACAGTGGTGGGATAAACATGGAAGTCTCGCCACATGGTCAGGTCTGCTCTGGCATGTATGTCAAGCGTCACTGTGCTGTCATTGTTAGGTAAACCTGTCAACAGACAGAGCAGCCTTGATATGAAGGAGTGGCCCTGTGGAATAATGCAGATTGTAAAATTTAGCAAACCGAGGACAAACTAGATTTATTTGTGAACAAAATGCTTTTGTGAGGATGGATTCTACATCTACCCTAATACACTGACTCTTGTGTGCTAGAATACTGGATTGCATTGCTAGAGTTGAGGCTATGCCTAAGAATACTAACCTGGTGGTGGGGCCTATGGTTTTTTTCCCTCTTAAAGTGGCACTCCTAGTGCAGAACACTGAGCCACCGTTTTATTGATGCTCTGGCATATGGTATAGGGTTCCTCCAATGTTAAAAAATCATCGAGATCATGCATCACCACTGGTCAATTACAAATGTTTAGGAGGAGCCAACAGAAGGTTTCAGCTAAAAATGTCAAACAGTTTAGGACTGTGCTTGGCTCCAAATATAAGACGGTTTGCAAAATAGTATTGCCCCCTCCGTGTATATGCCACAGAGACGGATGTATGGGGAGCAACTTGAAAGCACTGAAAATGTCAGTTTTCCCTAGCCAGGCTGCTTTCCTAGTCTTTAAGATTGCTTGTATAGCATTGCCTACTGTGGCATTATGCAGTAAAAATTGTTCCGAGAGAATTAGGGAATTTAACATAGGTATAGCTATGGAATGAGAAGCCGAAAGATCAATAATCATGTGTATTTTGTTGTGCTTAGTGTTTTGCAATGCTTAGTGTTAGTGTGGTAACATGTAAATGATGGATGAGTAAAAGGCCTGAGCATTAAAACATTACTTAGTTTTTGTTTGTGTGAGTGTATCAACTGTGCCTGGATCTTGTGAGGCAGATTGCAGATTATCACACTCAAGGGTACCTGTGGGCAGTGCAATGAGACCAGTGTGAAAGTCTTCCGTGAAACCCGTGATAAGAAATTCAGCTAGGGACCTTCCTGACAATCTTAACACATTTATTACCTATATGATTTACATAGATAATAGGTTGAGAGAAAGAAATAACCAACGGACTAGACGTACTACCTTGTTACTAGCTCCTCGTTTTTCTAATCCTGTCCTATCTGTTCCTGTTCCAGAAACTGAACCCATGCAGTTGGGGGTAACCAAACTTAAGGAAGCAGAGAGACAGTTTAGGAGAAACAAGGGCTTATGTCTATACTTTGACAAAAAGGGTCATCTTAGAATTACATGCCCTGTGTGTCCGGAAAACATGCGCACCTAAGGACTGTTCGGGGGACCGACCTTAGGTGTGATGTTTATGTCCCCTAAATTGACTAAGAACCGTTTCCTGGTAAAATTTAACATAGTTACATAGTTGAAAAGAGACTTGCGTCCATCAAGTTCAGCCTTCCACACGTATGTTTTTACTGTTGATCCAAAAGAAGGCAAAAAATCTAATCTGAAGCGCTTCAAATTTTGCCACAAACTAGGAAAAAATTCCTTCTTGACCCCAAAATAGCAGTCAGATGTCTCCTTATGTTATGTTTTTGCAAGTATTTATCCAATTGCAGTTTAAACATCTGTAATGACTCTGACAAAACCACCTCTTCAGGCAGAGAATTCCATATCCTTATTGCTCTTACTGTAAAAAAAAACCTTTTCTTTGCCTTAGATGAAATCTCCTTTCTTCCAGCCTAAATGTGTGACCTCGTGTCCTATGTATAGCCCTGTTTATGAATAGATTTCCAGATAATGGTTTGTACTGGCCCCAAATATATTTGTATAAAGTTATCATGTCCCCTCTCAGGGCCGTTTTTCCAAACTAAACAGAATTAATTTTTTTTAACCTTTCTTTTTTTTTTTTTTCAAAAAGGCTTTATTCAAACATAAGCATTTCAGGGTATGCCCTGATCCCTGTACATTAGCAGGTATCAATTGATTGAACAAGTAAATAACATATAAGGGACTCGCAGGTCCCAACATTAAGTGTGTAGACAACACTCAAACAATGTTACATAGTATTTCTATATGGCATTTGGTCACGTTTAACACGTTAAGACATACATATGAGTGATCGGATTGCGGCTTGAGTAGAGGGATATTCATAAGTTTGTGCCTTGCGTCTGTTTTATGTGATCCTCTAGTATTTCCTTATCACCCTTGAGCCTCATTCTCTTTGGGGTAGTAAGGTCTATTGGTCCGTCGTCATAGGTCAGATGTCGTTCAGGGACGTGTCTTATTCGTGTTGTGTAGTTGCGTGATGAAGGTGTTTGCGTCCATTTTGACGTGCAAGTGTGAGTGAGTGACACAATTGTGGGCAATCTCGGATTAAGGCGGGCTACGTTTATCATGTAATTTATAATGAAGCCATTGTTGGGGAGTTTTAAAGAGAAGATGAGTGTTAATTGAGTAAGAAGTAAGAGAAAAGGAGAGGGGGAAGAGGAGGGGAGAGCTGGGTGGGGGGTGGTTGGGCGGGGGGTGTGGGAGGGGGGATAGGGGAGTATGAAGGGAAAGGTGGTCCTGTCATCCGTGACCACGGCGTAGTATGTATCGGACCAGGCATCAGTCCCCGTCTGTGGGGGGTCCTGGGGCTCCTTGGGGTTGCAAATGGCCGTTCCTATCTGTGTTTCGGTCCGCTATGTAGAATAGCCACGGGCGCCACCTCTCCACATGCTTGTCTTCTAGTCCTCGTAGTGTAGCCTGTATTAATTCCGCTCTATATATTTCTTCCACCCGTTCCAACCATTGTCTTATCGTCGGGGTATTCGTTTGTTTCCAGTATAATGGAATTAGTGCCTTGGCTGCGTTGATTAGGTGTCTACGAATGTTTTTCCTGTATGTGCCTATGGGATCCGGTGTTGAGTGTAGGAGGACTGTCTCTGCGTTGAGGTTTCCTTCTGTCCCTGTGATATCCCTTATTTTCTGTAGGACTTCGACCCAGAATGGCTTAATGAGTGAGCATTCCCACCATATGTGCAGTGGCGAACCACGTCCATCTCCGCATCTCCAGCATATGTCAGGTACATTCGGGAAGATCCTGTGTAGACTGTCGGGCGTTCTGTACCAGAATGAGAGAAGTTTATAGTTGGTTTCTTGATATTGGGAGCTCGATGAGCATTTATGGTGTAATATGAGGATCTTTTCCCATTGGGATGTGGTGAAAGATGTATTTAGCATGCGTTCCCAGCGTCTGCGGAATTGGTCGTTGTTAGTGAGGTGCCCCACGAGTACGTGTTGGTATAGCAGGGATATCGCTTTACCTAGAGTAGTCTTGTGATCGCAGAGCGTTTCGAACCATGTCAAGTCCCTGTGTAACTTTTCCTTGTCTGGAAGTGTCCGGTAATATGTTCTGAGTTGTATATAACGGAAGGTCTGTAGGCTAGTGGGTTGGTCGCCTTCTATTAGGTCCCTCAGGGGGATCATATCTGCGTTAGTTAACACCTTATGTATGGGGTGTGATTCCCCCTCTCCCAGGAAGGACCATGCTGTCCGTGGTAGCCCTCCCCCTATCTGGGGGTTGTATTGTATCTGGATCATCGGGCTCGGTGCTGGAGAGACGTGAGTAGCCTTTCTGATATAGTCCCACGTTTTCAGTGTCTGCGCCACGGTAGAGGATGGTTCCAAATTCGTCTGCGGCATCTTCTTCGTATTCCACACTGATGCCAGAAAGGAGGGGCCTATATGTTGTTTGTCCAATTCGATCCATTGTTTATGTTCCGGTTGAGTATGCCATTCCAGGACGCGTTGTAGTACTGTCGCGTGGTGGTATTTGCGGAGGTCAGGGAGTGCCAATCCCCCCCATGCTCGAGGTAGGCAGAGGACTTCCTGTCGTAGTCTTGCCTGTTTCCCATGCCAGACGAACTTCACCATCGCGGAACGTAGCGATGCGAAATATGCCGTCGGTAGAGCTTGCGGAATCGTCTGGTATAAATATAACAGCCGTGGTAGAATATTCATCTTAAGTATTGAGATCCGGCATAACCAGGAGATGTGCTTTTTCCGCATCCGTTGACAATAAAAGGAGCTTATCTGTTGATTTCTTTGCCAGGTGATGGATGGCTTGCACTCTAAGAGTGCTGTCTCTAGCTTCTCTCCCTGGGATGAACCCCGTCTGGTCTGGATGGACCAATCTCGGAAGCATTTTCCCTATTCTGGTGGATAGTATTTTAGTGAGGAGCTTCACGTCCACATTTAGCAGTGATATCGGTCTATAGCTGCTGCAGAGTTCGGGATCCTTCCCAGGTTTCGGGAGAACCGTTATAGTTGCCGCTAATGATTCGGGTCCGAGTCGGGCGCCGTCTATCAAAGCGTTAAATGCGTTGGTGAGTCTCGGGAGCAGTAGGGTTCGGAACTTTTTATAGTAGTCCAAGGTAAAGCCATCAGGGCCTGGGGCCCGTCCCGTTTTGGCGGTCTTGAGTGCCCCTGCAACTTCTGCCTCCGTAATCGGTATATCCAGTGACTCCGGTTCCCCTTGCTGCAACCTCGTCTTCACGTGTGATTCGATATAACTCATTATTCTATCCCGTCTGAGTGTTACCTCCTCCGGTAGTGTGGGTCCCGGGATGTTGTATAACGAGGCGTAAAATGTGCGAAACTCGGATGCTATTTTATCCGGGAATTGTGTGATCGTGCCGTCTGATGTCCGTAGTTTATGTACCTGGGTCATGCCTTGGGGGCCTCTAAGAATTCTGGCCAGCAGTCGCCCTCCTTTGTTGGCGTGTTGGTAGAAGAAGGCCTTCGATCGTTGTATGGAGCTATAGTGTCGTTTCGTCATGTGTGTATGTAGAGATCTTCGGGCTTCCAATAGTTCTTTATATGTCCCCTCGAGGTGTGAACGTTTGTGTTGCATTTCAAGCGTAGTTATGCGCGTTAGTAGGTCCGTCATATGTTTCCGAGATTCTCTCTTCTTCTGAGAAGCTAGGCGCATCAGTGTCCCTCTGAGCACACTTTTGTGCGCTTCCCATATCGTGGTCGCGGGGAGATCATCCGTCTCATTCAGTGCGAAATAGGAGGTGAGTTCCTCGGAAACCGTTTCCTTCACTGATGGGTCCAAGAGTAATGAGACCTGGAGTCGCCATGACCTAGCGGTTGGGCGTACCCTGGGGGAGTCCATTTGCAGGGTCACAGGACCATGATCCGACCAGCTTGCTAATCCAATTTCTGCTGTTTGGATAGCGTCAAGATGTTCCTGTTGAAGGAAGATGTAGTCAATCCTTGCGTATCGCTTATGTATCACTGAGTAGTGAGTGTATTCCCTGTCTGCCGGGTGCATCGCTCGCCAGCAATCCACCAGCCTAAGGTTCTTTAGCGTTTTTTGTATGCTTCGGATGGCTCCTTGGGTGATGCTACTGTGTCCCGTGGATGAATCTATGAGAGGGATGAGGGGAACATTAAGATCTCCTCCAACGATTAACGTGCCCTCTGTGAATGAGGAGAGGTTGGAGAGAGATTTACGTATGAAGTGTGATTGGTTGTTGTTTGGTGCGTATATCGTCGCGAGGGTGTACCTACGGTTTTGTATGTCTCCCTTAATGAACAGGTATCTGCCGTTAGGGTCAACCAGTCGCTCCACTTCCTGGAACTGTAGTTGAGCATGGGGAGAACTGCTACACCTGCCTTACGTGCAGTCGGGTGGTTGCTGAGAGCCGCAGTGGGGTAGTGTTTGCTCTTCAACGGCGGAGCATGTCCTTCCTTAAAGTGTGTTTCCTGTAGGAAAGCAATCGATATGCGCTTAGAGGTAAGCTCTCGGAGAAGGTGCGATCTGCGCTCCGGGATATTTAGGCCCCTGCAGTTCATGGTTGTGATGCGTAGAGGGTCAGGCTCGTAGGCCATTTGCGATTGGTGGGGGTGGTTCGCCATGTCCTTTAACGTTTTGTTTACTCTTCTAGTCGGTGCCTGGTGTCGGGTGCTGCCCCGTCTCTTTTAGGAAATGCCGTGGGCACGGAGGTGGCGCGGGGGGGGTGACGGTAGTGGAGAAGTTGGGGTGGGCGGGGTTGGATCAGAGTCGTATGGGGAGGGATGAGGTAGGGTGGAGTTTGAGAAAAGATGTAGAGAGTCCCCTAAGCGGGGGGACAGTACGGCACCTAGAGGTAGGTGTCAGAAATCCCTCCTGTGAGGGTTGGTTCGCGTGACCACGGTAGCAGTCAGTAGTAGGGTCTGTCAGAGAATATCTAACGACCTCCAACTATCGACTCTCCGTGGTTCGAATTTGTTCACGCGAACTTGGCGGGGGTTAGTGGTCTAGTCCTCGCGTTCCCACCACGTACGGTGTGTCTACTGTTTGTCGTTACAGGTATATAAGTCTGAGATTACCCAGTGGGTGTGCCACCAGTATGGGAGCATTTGAGTGTCGTTAGCGTTAGTGTGAGTAATGGGTCTAGTCTGGTGGCATCAGCAGTTATCAGTATTGTCGCTGTTCGTATCCTAGGTTGATGTAGTGCTATCGAGTGGTGGAGTGTTTTTAGGCTGTATGGTCGGTGCCAGGGTCAGGATCTATATCACGTCGGGGCAAATTCCTGAGTCTGAGGTAGGGCGGTGTCCTGGTGTGTCACGACTGTCACGTAATGTGCGGGACGTTTGGCTTGCTCTGGGGGTAAGTGGTGTCATCACCCTCAATTTCAATGGGGTAGCTGTCACGGTCAATGTTGTGGTGAACAATTCAAAATGTGCATCATATCTCACAGTACATTCCCTCCCCACCCAAACCACAGAGTAAAACATATATACATTAGTTGCAGCATTGGATCCCCTTCGTGTACCTCCTAGCTCCTATCTTCCTCTTGCAGCACCCTCGTCTCATGTTAGTATACCTGTGTGTGACCATATCTAGGCCTGAAGGGGACGGGGTGATATCGTGCATAGCGGTTCCTACCTAGATCTGCTGTATTCATGGGCTATCTGCATCAGGTGTCCTACGCTAAGGGATTCTAAATTCCACCCTCCCATTCTCCCGTATCCTCCCCCACTCCACCAGTGTGAACTGTTGGCCCAGGATTTCAACAATCTGTGTCTCGCTGGCTCTAAACTACCCCCCATGTAGCCCAATACAGTCCCACAAGTCCCTCCCCCCTGTCTGCACCCAACGTAGGCCCGCAACATGCGGCCAGCCCAGCGTTCATCATCCCCCCCTGAACCTGTTGGTATGAGTCCTCCAGAGTGTCGTGTCTCTGCCAGTGCAGGTATCCTGTTCTGGATCATATTCTTTTGTCGGTTCCTTGTAGGTGCGGTGGCAAGTCCAGCCAAGGGATCCGGCTCGTGATTCTTCAGCTTCCCTGGGTTCCCTATACGGCTATCACAAGCCTTCCCCCCCTCCCAAGAGAGTCTCGTGGTAGTGCCATCCCCGTGTGCCACAGGCTATGGAAAGGTGGGTATAAGGTGGGGAATAGCTTGGCCGGTGGGGCCTAGTAGAACTGGTACCAACAGTTCCATCTCCTGTGGTCAAGAGCCTGTTATGTCCCTCCTAGTCCCCATCCAGATTGTGTGGGTCGCTGGGTGTGTGCACACCATAGGTAGCGTGCGGAGTTGGCTCCTTGGGTCAGTGGGTTGTGGGCAATGAGTTCTGTCTGCGGGACGTCGGTTGCGTCGACATCTTTTCAGGTAACCGGATCATAGGTGTCACAGAGAGTTGAGCCCGGTGCCATCAGTGCTTGGCTATTCTTCTGGGTTAGACGGGTGTGAAGGTGCTTTGTGTATGCGGTTTTCCCTTGGGCCTCTCCGTGAGTGCCTTGGCTGTCTTTGTGGTCTGGGTTCTCGGTCCAGTGGTTCCAGGATCCAGTCTGGGATTGCTATGGGCGGGAGGTCCAGCCGTTGGAGAAAGCGTGGTATTTCGTCCGGCCAGCGTGCAGCGACCCATTCGTTCTGGTGTCTCACTTGGATGCTAAATGGGAAGCCCCATTTGTACGGGATATTGCGTTCCCCTAGTGCTGTAGTGATAGGTCTGAGAGCGCGTCTAGCCTTCTTCCGTTTCTTGATAACGCCACGTGGGTCGAGCCCTAGCCCGTTGCATTATGCGATCTTTAAGGGGGAATGAGTGTAAGCAGCATATAATGTCTCTGGGGTCCCCATCTCTGATTCTGGGTCTCAGTGCTCTATGTGCACGCTCAAAGCGTATATTTGGTGGTGCGTCAGGTCCCAGGATTTGGAGGAAGAGCGCGGTGAGTAGCTCTTCTACATTTTCCTGCCCCTCACCCTCTGGAACCCCTCTTACCCGGATGTTTGAGCGGCGGCTCCGGTTATCTAGGTCCTCTATTTGTCTGCGCTGGGCCAGCAGCATGTTGCCCTGCCTTGTCAAGGCTGTGTCAGCAGCAGTTGCACGGCGTTGTGATTCTCGGGCCAGTGTTTCCAGCATTTGGATGCGTCCATCTTGTGCCTCCATATCTGTTCGCAGTTCTGAGACTGCCGACGTGAGGGAGGTCGTGAGGGTGGCTGTGAGGGACTGCAGGTCGGCTTTGGTGACCATATTGGCTGCCAATCGTCTGATCTCAGCTCCTATATCAGCCAGAGTAGGCTGGTCGGGTTCCGAGCAGGAGGAGGCTGGGGAGAAGGGCGCCATCTTGGAGCCGTGTGCCTCGCGGCTCGGTCCCAGCGGGGTTTGCAGGAACCCGTCCATCGGTCCTGACGGCGGTGCCGGTGGAGCTGCCCTGGGGGTATGTTGGGGCTCTTGCCTTTTTGTACGCCCCATTTAGGCAGGCTGGCGGTCGGTAAGTGGCTGATGGTAGCTAGGTGGCAGGGAGCTCGGGACTTACACGTCCATGTCTGTCGGACTTCAGGCCACGCCCCCTTTTTTAACCTTTCTTCATAACTAAAATGCTCCATTCCTTTTATTAATTTTGTAGCTCGTCTCTTGACTTTTTCTAGTGCCATGATATCGTTCTATAGAACAAGTGCCCCAAATTGCACAGCATATTCAAGGTGTGATCTTACCAGCGATTTATAAAGAGGCAAAATTATATTTTCATCCCGAGAATTTATGCCTCTATTTATACATGACAAAACCTTACTGGCCTTAGCAACTGCAGATTGACATTGCATATTGCTGCCTAATTTGTTGTCTATAACAATTCCAAAATCCTTCTCATGTGTGGTTATCCCTAGTTCACATTTTATACCTCTCAAACTGCCATCATCCCAGGATCTTGTCCATGTATTCTTATGTGAGATCTTTAGACTACATGGATTACCAAAAAACATAGTCTCTGACAGAGGTAACCAATTTGTATCCAGTTTTTGGCGTGCTTTCTGCAAACAGTTGTGCAAAGAACTTTTGTTTTCCTCTTCGTATCACCCTCAGACCAATGGGGCAGCTGAAAGCCTTGGGGTCTTATTTACGTTGCTTTATTGATGCCAATCAGACTTACTGGTCAGAACTTTTCTCCATGGCTGAATTTGCCAGAAACAACGCAACCCACGAGTCCTCTAAGTTAAGCCAATTTTTTTGTTAATAATGGTTATCACCCCACTCTGTTGCCTTCAGATTTCTCGGACACAAACATTCTGGTTTTAGACGTCCGTTTGGCTTCTATCCATGACACGTGGACTTCGGTGCACGAAGCATTGCAATCAGCCTCCAGACATACTAAGGTCCAGACAAATAAGCGATGTGGTGCCAATCCTGTCTATCAGGTTGGGGACAGGGTCTGGCTTTCCATGCACCATATCAAATTGAAAATGCCTTCCATGAAACTTGCTCCTCATGTTTATAGGTCCTTTCCGAGTCCTTAGACGCATTAATCCTGTGACATATTCTCTTGCCCTTCCTGCACATTTGTGGTTATCGAACACATTCTATGTGTCTTTATTGAAACCGCTTACTTGCAATCGATACACCAAACAGTTGATTCCTCCTCCCCCTCTGGTTGTTGGAGGCCCAGAGGAATATGAGGTCCTTTACATACTGTATTCCAAGGTATCTAGGGGTGTTTTGTTTTATTTGGTGGATTGGAAATGTTATGGATCTGAGGAACGTTCATGGATCGCTGCTGATGAAGTCCACGCTCCTTGACTTGTCCGGTCATTCCACAACCAGTTTCCTAACAAGCCTGCTCCTTCCCATCCGGTGGCGGTCTTCGAGTAGGGGGGTACTGTTACGGCCCCCGATTCGCGGCTGCATGTGATCGCACTGACCAGTGCGACCTTACACACAGTTAAAAAAATTACCTGTGCAGCGGCGAGTCGGGCGCCGACTCGCTGGGGCGTCCGTCCCCTCCACACGTGGAATCCAATATGGTGTCAACTGCCATTTGTAGCCCCGCCTCAATAAATCATGCGAACGTGCGTGTGACGTCACAACATCAATGCACATGCATGTTCTGGGGTTAGAGGCCAAGCTCTGACCAATCACAGCCCACGGAGGGGTATTTAAACCCTCAAATACCTTAGTTCATTGCCCTGCTGTAGTTTCCGTTCCTGGTATCCGAGAGTGCATTTTCTTGTTCTTGTATTTGATATTCCTGATATTTGACTTCGGCTATTTCTGACTATTCTAATTTCTGGTTTCCATGACTTGGCTTTCTAATCGACTTTGTGAATTTCTGCCTTCCTTGACCTCGGCTTTCCCCTTACTATTCTCTTTCTTTCAACGTATTAATCCGGCCATTCTAAGGACCTGTTTACGTTCTGTCTCTCTTTCTGTTCTATGTAGATGTTACATCGTTTTGCGTTTTGGATCATATAGTAGTTGTGGCATCTGTGCAACCTACTTGAGTTCTGGTTCCTGACTGGGGATTGACAGTGTAGCGGAGAGGTAGTATCATCCAGAATATCTCCACTGGTAGACAGGAACCGCATGTAGTAATCCATGTAAAACAAGTACAACATACAATAATCCCGGTAGC